ATAGAGTTTAAAGAAGGCTGGTGCAGGAACAGTGGCTAAGAGCTTTAGGAAGTCACAGACCCAACAGACTGTACTGTTTTTTCTAGGCACAATTCTGAGTTATAGTTATGAGGGTACACATGTCTAATAGCAGCTAGCTTTTTTTTTTTTTTTTTTTTTGAGACAGGGTCTGGCTTTCTCACTCAGGCTGGAGTGCAGTGGCGCAATCACGGCTCACTGCAGCCTCAACTGCCCAGACTCAAGCAATCCTTCCACCTCAGCTTCTGGAGTAGGTGGGACTATAGGTATGTGCCACCACAGCTGGCCAATTTTTAAAAATTTTCTCATACAGACAGGATCTTACTATGTTGCCAAGGATGGTCTCAAACTCCTGGGCTCAAGGGATCCTTCCACCTCAGCCTCTCAAAGTGCCGGGATTACAGGGCTGAGCCACCATGCCCAACCCTAACTTATTTCTTAATGGTAACATTGACAGTTCCTTCTACCTATAATTTGGGTTTTCTTAGAAACTGTAGGTCATCAATCATTGCACTCACAAGAGAGAACTGCCCTATATTTTTATTTTGTTGAACAAGAGAAAAAAAAAAGCATCATTATTGGCCATTATTGGTAGCAGGAGGGAGGGAAATAAGATATAATCAAAGGATGTACTTACCCGTTGAGGTACCTGATAGTTCCAAAACAGCTTTATTCAACTTAGAAGAAACACATGCAGTTCTGAATACACAGTAGCAATAATCTGAGCCTAAAGAAACAGGAAAAATACTCCAAATTAACATAATACTTCTCTAAAAACTCTGCTTGAATTCCCATGGATTAGAATAATTAGCAATCACCTAAAACCAATGAAATGTTATACTAAAAAGGGTGGTCAGTACGTTTTTTTAAAAAGGCAGTTTAGCAGGGGTGCCATGGCTACACCTGTAATCCCAACACTTCAAGAAGCTGAGGTGGGATGATCACTTGAGCAGGAGTTCAAGACCAGCTTGGCCAACATGGCAAAACCTCGTCTCTTCCAAAAATACAAAAATTAGCCAGGCATTGTGGCGCACACCTATAGTCCCAGCTACTTGGAAAGCTAAGGCACAAAAATTGCTTGAACCTGGGAGGTGGAAATTACAGTGAGTGGAGATTACAGTGAGCCGAGATTGCACCACTGCACTCCAGTCTGAGCAACAAAGGGAGACTCTGTCTCAAAAGAAACAAAGGAAAAGAGAGAGAGAGAGAATTAGCCAGGTATGGTGATGCACACCTGTTGTCCCAGCTTCTTGGGAGGCTGACATGGGAGGATCACCTGAGCCCAGGAGTTTAAGGCCACAGTGAGCCATGATCATGCCACTGCACTCCAGCCTGGACAATATAGCAAGACTCTGTCTCAAATAATAACAATTAAAAAAAAAATGAAAAGGCTGTTTATTCCTTAATTCATGCATTATATATGAGAAATATACAGAATATAGAAAAATATGTAGAAATGGGAAAACAATTAACTCATATTGTGACTTAAGAATATAGGAGAAATGAGGATGAAAAACACTTTGCTGTCTTGGAAATATATGATTGATATTTAATGAATGTTTTACATCATTTTCACGACTACAGTGAAAGGATAAGGAGGGCGAGAAAAGACTGCAGTTGCCTTGGAAGTAAAAGAAATGTTATTTTACATTTTCAAAAAAGGACATTGACAGCAAAACCAGACAAAGTTGATCTGAATTCTGCATCCTGAAATTTGCAACTAGAATGCTTAAAAAAAAATTAATTCCACCAATGGCTCAACCTACCATTTAAAGTTGCTTCTGTATATCTACTTTCAACATTAGCTGCTTCCTCTTCAAATACCATTTCTCTCAAACACGTCGGATGAGAATGGAAACTCATTATTATGTGCGCCTGAGAGTTTCCTGGATTGAGGTGTTAATCACTGGCGCTATTATGATTATTATGTAGAATACTCTCTGCAACTGTCTGCTCCCGAGATTTCAATCAAGTCCCCCCCCACCCCTCCCCGCCTCAAATGTTTCTTGATTTGGTATCAAGCATAATTGCTCACTCCAAAGTCAGAGGAAATAGTTTTACAATTAATAACACACAACAGAATCCCTGGGCAATCATTTTAAGTGAGGTCACCAAGTCTGACCTTTCCCTAACATGGCTATGGGCCCCTTCTAAGGCCGGGAACACAGAACTGAGAGTAAAGCGAACCAAGCTTCTAGGGTAATCCGCATCCCCCTCATCCCCCTCATCCCCCTCATCCCCCTCATCCCCCTCCGCCCCCTTCCCTCCCTCCTTTCCAGCCCTGAGCTTAGCAGCACCAGACCTGGCAGAAAGAAAAAAATGCCCTACTAGTTAGAGCCAATGGAAAGAGACCGCAACAGTGACTGCTGACGCTCTGAGAGCTAGCCCAACCCCGCAATACTGAGTGGGTTTGAACCGCAAGCAGGTCATCATTACACAACCAGCATCAGCTGGTTATTCAAAAATAGCAGCCTGGGCTCCTCCGCACACCGGAGCCAGCAAAGCTTCCAGCCCTTAGCAGCTCCGGCAACACACGTCGACATTTCCATACTCCTGTGTACAAAATAATTTTGTAAAGCCTTACCAAATACTTACTCAATTTTCACATCCACAAAGGTGGTCAGCGTCGTCCATTGCCCCTGATTCCCCTGGATGTAGCTGTTTTACATAAAATCCTCAGTTACTTATGCAAAAGACCCAGAAATCGGAACATCTTGACCACACCTACCTGCTTCTCACACGCAGGGCATTTTACTCGCCCACACTGAGGAGCCTCTTGGAGCGTCTCCCTCTCAGCGTCCCAGGAAGTGCGTTCCCAGCGAGGTACACCAGAGGCTTCTGGGAGCAGAGTCAGGTTCTCCCGTAGCCCTAAACGGCAATGCCCTGGATGTCCGGGACTACAATTCCCAGAATCCACTGGGCCTCTAATCGTAGGCAACATCCTGCGACCACCACCTGCCTTTCCCTTTCTCCCCCTCCGCCTCCCTGGATTCCTTGTGCACCTTAGGTTCCGTCTAGATTGGGTTATTGGATAAAAAAAAAAAAAAAAAACACACACACACACACACACACACACACACACACCACCACCACCACCACCACCACCACCACCACCACCACCACCACCACCACCCCCCCCCCCGGCAAAATGAAACAAAACTAAAAGTAGTTTTGAGTTGCCCGTAAAGGTAATTTGCCCTTAAGAAGGTTAGCAAAAATTCTTAAATCTGGATTTTTTTTTCCTCAAAAGTGTTTACCTAGGCACAAAATCGAAAACAGCTCAGAGTCTAGAACCAAATAGGCCAGATTTGTATGGGGCTTTGCTGTGTATTGACTGGGTGGCCCAGGCAAGTTACCTCTCTATATCTGGAGATTATCTGTAAAAATGGGGATAATTAGATCACCTACATCATACTGTTGTCTTAAAAATCAAGGGACATAATATAGCTAAAGTATAGAACATATAGCTAGCTATTCAATATTTGAACTAACTTTACTCTCCCACACAATTTCTACTGTCCTGCCTCTTTCTTGTCCTGCATTAGTGAATGAATATCTGAATTAAAAGAATTCTGAAGTCCTAAATAGCAACGATCCGATCTTTTAAAAAATAAAGGATGCTGAAGTGTTGTGATGCCTACCACTTAAAGATGATCACACACACACACACACACACACACACACAAATGGATATGAAGTGTGTAAATGTGTACAACTGTTGCATTCATGAAGAATACATATGTGGGCCTTTCTTGTACTATTCCTTCACATTCTCTGTATCTTTGAAGTTTTTCAAAATAAAAAGGAAAAAAAGTATCTGAAAAAAAAATCCAGATTTAAGAATTTTTGCTAATCTTCTAATGAGCTAGTCACCTTCACTGGGGCACCCATCCCAAGTAAGTATAACCTTGGGCAAGTAAGGTAACCCCTGTGTAACGGTATATCTACAACAGAAAATTGTGATGAGGGTTAAATGAATTACCATAGAGACAGTTACAACAGTGTCTAACATACGGTAAGGACTATATGTTTGCTATTAGCGTTTTCCATTTTGTGTTGCTCTAGTAACAGTGAGGCTATTTGTCAGGAATTTTTTTTTAAGTGAGGGTGGAGAAGCTACTATCAGTTCACTGCTACCCACTTCTTATGTGTGATACTGCTTTAGAGGATGGATAAGGTTATCTAAGTCCAGAAGCTATGCGATCCCAAAGCCAAACTGGGAAATGTAATAATAAGGAAGAAAGATAGCACTGGGTAGTGAAAAGATTTCTGGGCTCCACGCCAGCTCTGGCAATAGCAGATGGAAAATGGCAATGTGACAAAGGATAATCACTTATTTCCTCTGAACTTCAGTTCTCTCATCTATAAAGCTGAATTGAATCAAATAACTATGTAAAAAATCATTTTATAACTTATTTCCCAATCATTGATGAATACTGCCTGATTAGAGGACTTTAGCTGGGAAGTACATGCAATTGATTACAATAATTTTAAAAATCAGAGCACAAAAAGGAAGGAAAAACAACCTTATTCCTAGACTTACTGTTCAAGCTGGGGTCTAAAATGCCTGCCTCTGGAATAGCAAAGATGGAACAGAAAACTTAAAAACCCTGTTGGAGTTCAGTAGTTAGATAATTGGAATATAATTTTTGAAAGTACTTTAGATAAGAATTTAGATCTGCAATGAACAATCCTGGCTTTCCTGTTTTTCTCATTAGAGATTCTTCAAGGAGAAAAGTCAACTCTTAAATTCACTGCAATATACCATTCACCAATGAAATTTTACAGAGATTCCCATTTGGTCACTGTGTTAGTTTTCTACTGCTGCTGTGACAAAGTATCACAAACTCAAAGGTGTAAAACACAATAAATCTATTATCTTACAATTCTGGAGGTCAAAAGTCTGACACAGGTCTCACCGGGCTAAAATCAGGATGTCGGCAGGGCTTTCTTTCTTTCTTTACTGTTTAATAGATGTACCTAGTGTTTCAAAGTAGAAATGATCATATAATACATTCATATAATATGTAAAGATCTAATCAGTGTACTTGGGATATTTATTACTTTAAATATTTGTTTTCTTTATGCTAAAACCATTTGAATTCTCTTCTATTTTGATATATACAACACATAACTGTAAACTACAGTCACCGTACTAACATTAGTTCTCAGTTCGTCTATCAAACCATGTATTTGTTCCTATCAACTTCTTTTCAAATCCCTACTCCACCGTACACTTCCTGATCTCTGATGACCACCAGCCTAATCTCTATTTTCAGGAGATTCAATTCTTTATGTCCCACATAAGGGGATTCCCCTGACTGGTGCCCTTATTGTTAAGTGCTCTCCTCACCTTCACCTCACCTCCAGTTTCTTAATGAAGTAGACCTTCATTTTCATAACTTAAAAGGATATGGATCATTCCATAGATGTCTGTCTTCTAGCACTGCCTCTCACATTTCCTGTACATATAGGTCTCCAGCTTCAATCTAGGAATAAATTATATTACTGAGTTGTAAATCTATGCTAAGCATATAAAACAATGACAGGGGAAAATTTATTTTAAATTACATATTCAATCCAGTTAGTGTATTTCAAAGGTGCAATACTTTTCTTCATTTTTTAGTGAAAGAAGGTAGGAATTAATTTTCCCCCAAATCAGGAAATGAAAAACAAATGTCTTTGAAAGTCATAGTCACATATATAAAAAGGAGGGACAAGACAAGTTCCACGCACTTTCACGAGTGTCATAAAATACTGGATCTATTCAAGGGTAGACAGAAAAGGCAACTTTCAAAAAGTAGTACATTATCAAATGAAGGATTTACTATACTCCTTCCTAAGGGCACCAGAATGAGAAGATGTTTTCTAAATGAAATCTAAGAAGTGGAATGTGGAACTAATCTGTCCTCCTCTACTTAAGGGTTGTACATTGGTTAATTAAAATAAACAAGACTAAAAATCAAACGCTACCCATACTCCCCCTCCCAAAAAAAAAAAAGGGAAAAAATCCCACTAAAATATCCCAGATTACTCTCCAGAGTATAACCAGGGAGCAGTTTTAACAATTCAGATTAGTCTGTTACAAAGTCAACATAGCATGCCTTGCTTTTAAACAAAAAAATTAAATTAAAAACAAATTTTGGAACGATAAAAACTAATACTGGTCACTTTTCTGACAATACACAATTACTCAAAATTAACTAGTATTGGGAGAGGGAAGGTGGGGATATCTACGGGCCTTGTCTCACATGAGTACATGTACACATGTTGCAGGGCATTTCTCATTGCAAAAATGAATTTTGATTTTTAATCTCTAGTTTGATAAACACTGCTTTTGGTATGATGCCAATACCAGCTGTGCAGAAAAGGCTCTCGAAAGATGTTCATAGCAGCACACACTTGCAGCTCTTTTTCAGTTCTGGAGGCTCTAGAGCAGCCAATATTGCTTCATAAAATACATTCTTTTGGCCTAATTTTCAGTTTCATTCCAATGTTTCTTCATTAATTTTCTGTCTGGATGATGTGTTCATTACAGAGTGGGACGTTTCACTCCTCTACTATTATTGTATTCTTGTCCATCTCTCCCTTTAGATCTATTAATGTTTGCTTCATATATTTCGGACCTCCAGTGTTGGGTGCATAGATATTTGTAATGTTATATCCTTTTGCTGAATTGGCTTCTTTATCATTATATAGTGACCTTCTATGTCTCTTTTCAGTCTTTGATTTGTAGTCAATTTTATCTGATTCAAGTATATCTACTCCTGTTCTTTTTTGGTTTCCAGCTGCATGTAATATCTTTTTCCACCCCGTCACTTTCACCAAGCGTGTCCTTACAGGTGAAGTGGTAGGATATAGTTGGGCTTTGTTTCATATCTATTCAGCTACTCCATGCCTTTTCACTGGAAAATTCAATCTATTTGCATTCACAGTAATTACTGGTAAGTACTGCCATTTTGTTGCTTGTTTTCTGGTTATTTTATAACTCCTTTCTTTCTTCCTGTCTTCTATTATGATTAAATGATTTTCTCTCATAGTATTTTAACTAGTGGTTTTCATTTTTAATGAATCTATTATGGGTTTTTGTGATTACCATGAGGCTTACAAAAAATATTAAAGAGAGACAACTTAGATCAAAAAAAAAAAAAAAAAAAAAAAAAAAAAAAAAAAAAAAAAAAAAAAAAAAAAAAAAAAAAAAAAAAAAAGAAAGAAAGGAAAGGAAAAGGATTTTATTTCTCCTTCACTTATGAAATCCCAAGGGGTGAAGTTGAGGCAGCAATTAATAGCCTACCAACCAATAAAAGCCCAGGTCCAGATGAGTTCACAACCAAATCTACCAGACATACAAAGAGGAACTGGTACCACTTCTTCTGAAACTATTCCAAATAATCTAAAAAGAGGGAATCCTTCCCAAATCATTCTATGAGACCAACATCATCCCGATACCAAAACCCAGCGGAGACTCAACAAAAAAAACAAAACTTTAGGCCAATATCCATGATGAACACAGATGCAAAAATCTTCAATAAAATACTGGCAAACTGATTGCAACAGCACATCAAAAACCTCATCCACCACGATCAAGTAGGCTTCATCCTGGGGATGCAAGGCTGGCCCAACCTATGAAAGTCTATAAATGTAATTCACTACATAAACAGAACCAAAGACAAAAACCAAATGATTATCTCAATAAATGCAGAGAAGGACTTCAACAAAATTCAACAGCGCTTTATGCTAATAACTCTCAACAAACTAGGTATTGATGAAACTTATCTCAAAATAATAAAAGGTATTTATGAGAAATCCACAGCCAATATCATACTGAATGGGCAAAAACTGGAAGCATTCCCTCTGAAATCTGGCACTAGACAAGGATGCCTTCTCTCACCACTCCTATTCAATATAGTATTGGAAGTTCTAGCCAGAGCAATCAGGCAAGAAAAAGAAATAAAGCATATTCAATTAGGAAAGGAGGAAGTCAAATTGTCTCTAGCTGCAGACGACATTATTGTATATTTAGAAGACTCCATCGTCTTAGCCCAAAATCTCCTGAAACTGATAAGCAACTTCAGCAAAATCTCAGGATACAAAATCAATGTGCAAAAATCACAAGCATTCCTATACACCAATAACAGACTTAAAGAGAGCCAAATCAAGAATGAACTGCCATTCACAATTGCCACAAAGAGAATAAAATACCTAGGAATACAACTAACAAAGGATGTAAAGGACCTCTTCAAGGAGAGCTACAAATCGTTGCTCAATGAAGTAAGAGAGGACACAAACAGACGGAAAAACATTCCATGCTCATGGTTAGGATGAATCAATATTGTGAAAATGGCCATACTGCCCAAAGTAATTTATAGATTCAATACTATCCCCATGAAGCTACCTATGACCCTCTTCACAGAACTGGAAAAAAACCACCTTAAACTTCATATGGAACCAAGTGAGCCTGCATAGCCAAGACAATTCTAAGCAAAAAGAACAAAGCTGGAGGCATCACACTACCTGATTTCAAACTATACTACAAGGCTACAGTAATCAAAACAGCATTGTACTGGTACCAGTACTAAAACAGAGATGTAGACCAATGGAACAGAACAGAGGCCTTGGAAGCAATGTCACACATCTACAACCATCTGATCTTTGACAAACCCGACAAAATCAAGCAATGGGGAAAGCATTCCCTGTTTAATAAAAGGTGTTGGGGAAACTGGCTAGCCATGTGCTGAAAGCAGAAACTGGACCCCTTCCTGAGACCTTTCGCTAAAATTAACTTCAGATGGATTAAAGACTTAAACATAAGACCTAACACCATAAAAACCTTGGAAGAAAACCTAAGTAAAACCATTCAGGACATAGGCATAGGGAAGGACTTCATGATTAAAACACCAAAAGCATTGGCAACAAAAGCCAAAATAGACAAATGGGATCTAATTCAACTCCAGAGCTTCTGTACAGCAAAAGAAACAATCATCAGCGTGAACCAGCAACCAACAGAATGGGAAAAAATTTTTGCAATCTACCTATCTGACAAAGGGCTGATATCTAGAACCTACGAAGAACTAAAACAGATTTACAAAAAAAACCACAACAAACCCATTCAAAAGTGGGCAAAGGATATGAACAGACACTACAAAATACATATATGAGGCCAACAAACGTAAGAAAAATGCTCATCATCACTGGTCATTAGAGGAATGCAAATCAAAACCACATTGAGATACCACCTCACGCCAGTTAGAATGGCGATCATTAAAAAATCTGGAGACAACAGATGCTGGAGAGGATGTGGAGGAACAGGAACACTTTTACACTGTTGGTGGGAGTGTAAATTAGTTCAGTCATTGTGGAAGACAGTGTGGTAATTCCTCAAGGACCCAGAAATAGAAATTCCATTTGAGCCAGCAATCCCATTACTAGGAATATACCCAAAGGACTATAAATTGTTCTGTTATAAAGACACATGCACATGCATGTTCACTGTGGCACTGTTTACAATAGCACAGACATGGAGCCAACCCAAATGCCCATCAATAATAGATTGGATAAAGAAAATGTGGCACATATACACCATGGAATACTATGCAGCCATAAAACGGTGAGTTTGTGTCCTTTGTAGGGACATGAATAAATCTGGAAACCATCATTCTCAGCAAACTGACACAAGAACAGAAAATCAAACACTGCATATTCTCACTCATAGGCGTGTGTTGAACAATGAGAACATATGGACCCAGGGAGGCCCCAAATCACCAGAAGCTAGGCGGGAGGCATGAAACGGATTCTCTCTTATTGTACTCAGATGCAATCAGCCCTGCCAACACCTTGGAGTTCCAGGCTCAAGAACTGTGAGATAATAGATACCTGTTGTTTAAGCCACCCGGTGTGTCATACTTTGTTACAGCAGCCCTAGTGAATAAAGGAAGGGAAGAAGATTCTGAGTAAATTAAACAGTGAGATGTCACTTTACAAACTGTTAGAAATTTGTAATGCACCATCAAATTTGATAGCACATTTGCTTCTAATATTCTTGAATAAAGCTACTTAGTGAAGATGGGGAAGGAAGAAGAGAGAGGATTTACAAAAGATTGGCCAATAAATAGGATAACTAAAGGCTTTTGCCTGTAACTACAATATTAAGGTGTTTTAAATCTTTGTCTCTTACCATGCCTTCCACTCCCTCCTACCATCACCACTTTTTTTTTTTTTTTTTTTTAGTTTTAAATAACTTTGTAAACTGAACTTTCATGTCGAGTTTCTGATGAGGTATTACAAATTTGGATTTACTATTTACTATTTACTATAGTCCTCCATTCCCCCCATCCTCAGTTCCAGTTACTTACACTCAACTGTGGTCCAAAAATATTAAATGGAAAAGTTTAGAAATACACACTATTCTAAGTAACATGAGGAAATCTCATTCCATCTTGCCAGATGAATCATCTCTTCATCCAGTGTATCCATACTGTATATGCTACCCTCCCATTCGCCATGGATAGATATCATCTGCTCCTGACATCATGATCCAGGATCACACAAAATAAAAGATTTTCCTGATGTGTTGTCAGGTCAGCAGTAGCCTAACACTAGGTATGTCACAATGCCTATGTCATTTGCCCCACATGATCTTATCATGTAGGCATTTTATCTCACATAATCAGGAGTACAGTATAGTAAGATATTTCAAGAGGCAGACCACATTAACGTAGCTTTTATTACAATATATTGCTATAATTGGTCCAATTTAATATTTTTAATCTCTTACTGTGCCTAATTTAAAAATTAAACTTTGTCATAGGTGTGGTATAGAAAAAACATATATAGTGTTTGGTACTATCCAAGGTTTTAGGTATTCCTTCACCCCATCCTCAGTTTCAGTTACTTATAGTCAACTGAGGTCCAAAAATATAAATGGAAAAGTTCAGCAATACACACTATACTAACATAAGGAAATCATGGGGGAGTTTTCTGGTTCATGTTTTCATAGGAAGGAAGGTCATGTGTGCTCATTTTATTGTTCTTACAATTTCTCTTGACCCCAGAGTGGTACTGCTTCCTGGAAAGATTTGTTTTTGAAACAGAGGTTCAATTTTTATCTAGTCCTCTTATTTCCCCAATTATAATTCACTTGACTAGGGGCTTTTACTTACTTTGTCATTTAATCATGTTTCAAATCCATCCAGTCATAAGCTTTTACTCAATGTCTGCCCTTGATTTAAAAGATTCTCAATCTCCCTCGATTTGTAGCACACAAAACTGAAGGTATATTTTAGCTTATAATCATGTCTTTTGTCTTAAGAAAATTACACCGCAGTCTTCTTAAAGCCTTTTATATAGAAATAATACCAATAACAATGTTTGATAACCAATTTAAAAAATGAAAGTACTGATCAGAAGATATTGGCAATTTCAGAAAAATATTATGGGCCATGAACAAAGGAAGCTTTTGTCCTTTGCTTTCAACGCACTCAAATTTTGCTTTCAAATTTCAATTAATTTACAAAATAAATAGGAAAAGACTATCTTGCCATATATTGCTCGCAAATTAGTTATAACATAAGCTACATGTCCTGTTCTTCAAATTCCAAGTATTTCAAAGGACATGACTTGAATAACAGCTATGCTTCACATAGCTTGGTATCTTATCTGGACATCCCAAAGAATTTCTATTACAAGCACATTAATAATATATACAAAAGTGACTACTTTCTTTGATATCTTCCAGGTACCCAACAACTATTAAGAACATTTTTTAAAAATTCTAACAAATTGCCTAAAATTTGTGGTTGATGATGGTCAAAAATGGTAGTTGAAATTGCCCCTGGCTTTTTCATGCTTACAACAGCCAACTGAGACAACAACCACACCTGATACTTCAGAGATATCCACAGAGACATACAACTTCCCAGCATCCATATTTTTCTTTCTTCCCTCTCTCCCTTTCTCATTTCTACTACTTTTTTTTTTTTTTTTTTTTTTTCTTCAGCTGGCTACTGACATCCACTCAGAACTAAAGCTATTTCCCTAATACTTTTCCTTACTTGCCAACCTCCAATTAGAAAACAGAAAACTGGCTGGGCATGAATGGCTCATGCCTATAATCCCAACACTTTTGGAGGCTAAAGTGGGAGGATTGCATGAGACCAGGAGTTCAAAACCACTCTGGGCAACATAATGAGACCCTGTCTCTACAAAATAATCTTAAAAAATTAGCCGGGTATGGAGGCATACACCTACAGTCCCAGCTACCTGGAAGAATGAAGCAAGAGGATAACTTGTGCCCAGGAGGTTGAGGATACAGAGAGCTATAATCACACCACTGTACTCCAGAGAGAGACCTTGTCTCTAAGAAGAATAAATAATAAAACTAAACAAATAAAATAGATGTGAAATATCTCTTTAAGAAAAAAAGATATTTTTCACTACTTAACTTTGCAATTAAAATTATGTATGTTATCTGCCAACATTTTTTGTCCACTGTTTATCTCAGTAATTCCTGAGTTATAAACTTTGATAAGGCATAGACTTTTTTTTTTTTTATAAATGTCTTTTAAAAAATTACCAAATGCTTTAGGCTCCCAAGAGTTCAAAAAACAACTCATGTATTCACCACCCAACTTAAAAAAATGACATGGCTAGCAGACAATACAGTGTAGTGTTTAAATAAGTTAACATATGTGATACTCAGTACAGTACCCAGCATATGGTAACATTACCACTTTAGATATGATTACTAACACAGACCATGTACTCAAACAAGATCTTTGGATTTGTTTCACTTTCTGTTCTTTAAAAAGAGACAGATTTAAACCAAATTTGAGATACTGTTAAGGATTTAAAGACAGGCATTAAATTCAATTCACTATTTGGTCTTTAAACAAAATGTTGCCATATTTTTGCAATAAAATATATTTTATGTAGGTTTACAAGTTATGCTATTGCTAATTTTCATTTTTAAGCTACAGTTTTAAAGTGTACTTATGCTGTTGCTTTGGAACATTATTTTTAATATACCTTAATACATTGCAAATTTCTAGATGCGATTTGTGAAAGTGGGTTTTCAATCTAAATTTTGCAAACACTGTGAAATTGCTTGGAAAATATTTTAAGTGTTTATGTACATTTTTTGGCAAGAAAAGTCTGTAGCTTTCATTAACTACTGAAAGGAATCTCTAACCTCCATTTTTGAGAAGCAAATAACAGTGAGATGAAAGAAAATACATAACTTTACAAGAAAACTAATTGGATAAAAACTGAAATATCCTTGACCTAATTTTTCCCATTATAAAAGATGACTTTTTTCCTGATTATGTAACTAATACATGTTTATCATTTTAAAAAAAGTTCATCTTGCTATGACATACAATAATATGAATATATATCACAAAAAGCGCAATATAATAGGTATTCTGGAATTTTTCAGTACACAGATCCAACTTCATAGTACAATATACTTAATATTATATAAACTTGCATTTCATGATGGTAAATAAATCTGATATAGAAAGCTCTGCAGAGCCACTGGGACTGTAAGAATTTGCTATACATTGAATTTAATACTCTGGTTATTCAGTAATATAATAAGCATTTCAAAAAGCATATATTTTGAAAATTACATTTTAAAAGGTAAAAATGAAAAGTCTTGCTTAAGGACAAAATAAAATGCATCTGAGATAATGTTAAAAGACTTCAAAACAAGTCTTTATGTTTTCAAATTTTTTAAAAGATAAAGGAATCTAATTTTCTCGGTCAGAATAAAAATCAAAGGTCAAAAAAAGGTACATAGAGTACACTTGCAGTAACCAGAAAATACTAGTTAATTGAACATTTTAGTGACTCATGTAATAAAATGCTTTGCTTAGTCATGAGTGGCACCCTGGGCATTACTGACAGAGCAAATAATCCTGAACACACATCTACTACCCTTTGCCGCAGCACAAAATAAGATCATGGTGCCAGTATTTCCGACATTCACCTGATGAAATTGTCCTTACACTGCTACTTGTTTACATTTATAAAATAACAGAACTTAAAAAAAAAATAGCACTGAAGTTACAAATGTAAAACATACCCAATACAAAGCCTGGTCACTGTGATCAGCACAAATTCCAAATGCTTTTCCTCATTCTTATTCTTTTGTTGTGAATAAATGAGTCTATTCCAATCCCCTGAAGTTTCTGTTATCAAATGTGAGATATACAAGGACAATAGGTCCCGTCTGTTCTCTTCAACATGGGTACATACAGCAAACTGCACAGTGTTTGCTACAAGAGTGACACTCAATAAATTCATAAGCAATGAAGAAAAAAGAAATACAAAAAAAGTGTTTGGGGACTGGAATGGGAGGTAGGAGAAACAGACAACAAAACAAATATAAGTAAAATAATACTGGAAAAAACGTCATCCACGTTATCAAATCAGAAAAAAATTTAAGCTGAGAACAATACATAAACTATGAACAGTCTATCTGCTGGTTTCTGTTATAACTTTATTATCATTAAACATGCATTCAAATTTAGGGTTTTAAGGTCTCCACAAAAGAGAACTATTATATATTTAGTGCAGCCAGATACAAGACAGGCTCAAAAACAAACAAAAATGAATTGCTCATTCTAATAATAATCTAGAGAATGCTTCTATATAAATTTTAAAAATGATCTCAATAGGGACATCCTAAGGAATATCAGAGAATATTACAGGTGGACTGGCCATAAACTTGTAAAATGTACTTTTTAGCTCTTACTTTGTTTTTCTTTTTTTTGAGATGGAGTCTACTTCTGTTACCCAGGCGGGAGTGCAGTGGTGCAATCTCAGACTCACTATATCCTCTGCCTCCTGCATTCAAGCAATTCTCCTGTCTCAGCCTCCAGAGTAGCTGGGACTACAACAGGCATGCACCACAACACCCAGCCAATTTTTTATATTTTTAGTAGAGACGGGGTTTCACCATGCTGGCCAGGCTGGTCTTGAACTGCTGATGTCAAGTGATCTGCCCTCCTTGGCCTCCCAAAGTGCTGGGATTACAGGCATGAGCCTCCATGCCTGGCCATTAGTTACTTTTTTTACTGTTGACATACTTAACTACCAAACAACAACTTTAAAAGGTACGGTTCTTGAACAAAAACACATATATCAGAAGGTAATAATACTAAAAAAAGATCTGTGAAAAAGCTTTCAAAATAAAAAAAAGTTAAATTTTAAAAAATGGCAGAAAAAATATGGATTTATGTGTAACATGTTTTGAAATATCTATACATTGTGGAATGGTGCAATATAGCTATTAACACATGCATTACCTTATATGCTTTTATGGAAAAACCACTGGTCAAGAGATCGAGACCATCCCGGTCAACATGGTGAAACCCCGTCTCTACTAAAAATACAAAAATTAGCCGGGCATGGTGGCACACGCCTGTAGTCCCAGCTACTTGGGAGGCTGAGGCAGAATTGCTTGAACCCAGGAGGTGGAGGTTGTGGTGAGCCGAGATTGCGCCATTGCACTCCAGCCTGGGTAACAAGAGCGAAAGTCAGTCTCAAAAAATAAAAAAAAAAATTTTACTCAGAAATACACCGTTGTTAATTATAGTCACCAAGCTGTACAATAGATCTCTTAAAATCAGTTACCTTGTCTAACTGAAATTTTGTATACTTTGACCAACATCTCCTCAAGCTTCCACTCCCCAACCAGCCCTTGATAACCACCATTCTATTCTCTGCTTCTATGAGTTCAACTTTTTAAGATTCCACATATAAGTGACATTATGCAGTATTTGTCTTTCTAAGCCTGGCATATTTCACTGAACATGTCCTCCAGGTTCATCCATGTCACAGACAAAAGGATTTCCTTGTTTTTAAGCATTAAATAGCATTCCATCAATATCATTTTTAATATATTTAAATTATATTCACTTTAGAACCAGTAACAGCATGCTTTCATGATGGTAGCTCACTTGAAGATACTTTATCAGAAATCCACAAATTAAGCAACTGTTTCTTATGATATGCATCATTTTCCTGGTTGGCCTGTTCATCCAATGACTTTCTTATACAGTTCTTTAATTCTTCAATTCCTTCTCCAGTAACTGCAGATACGGGGATGATATGTTGGAACTCTACAGTCCTCTCTGGAATCATGTTTTTTCCAAATAAATGCAGAAAATCTAAAAGAAAGAACACAAAGCTAAGCTGATTTCCATTGTTTTTGAAAGTAAGTTAAAACTGTGTTAATGGTTTGATTTGTGAAGCAGGGAGCCAAAAACTTAGCATTTTTTCATGTCTTTTTGTCCCTTTTCTCTCTAATAAACTCTCAGAGCCTTTAGATTTTACTATTGATTATGGTAAGGTTCTTGGCACATAATATGCTTGTTAGATGAATATATTTTAAACCAAACTAAGTATTAGTAGAAGAGGAATCACAAAAATGACTTAAGGAAGTAATAAATTTTGTTTGAGGAGGGTTAAATAAGGCAAGGAAGCATTGATTCTCTGAAAGATACTTTCTGTAAAAATATTAACATCATTTATAATTTGAGACATTCTACCTGGCCTCAGTATGCTAGAGACCTTTAACTTCCCAAAAGTATAGGTTTATCATCAATGATCCTAGGATCCATACTAAAACTGAAGAGGGATAATAGAGCATTCAAGGGAAGATAATTTCAGATGAGTCCAATCTGTCAACCCACAAGGGCTAACAACTGTTATATAATTTTTACCTCTTTCCTGTCACCGTTGCATACTGATTGGCTGGAAAGATGGCAGCCAATTGGATGGGTTAACTGATATGAACTAGGTAATAACTCTAAAAAAAAAAGATCCGTGAAGAAGCTTTCAAAATAAAAAATTTAAATATAATTTTAAAAAATGACATTAATGGCTTTATCATGTGTAACATGTTTTGGAATACCCATACATTGTTGAATGGCTCAATATAGCTTTTTAACATGTGCGTTACCTTACAGTCTGGACTGAAACAGATTGGAAAAGACAACATGGAGCTTGCTTTCTGAGATTCAAAGCCCTCAACAAAGTCCAGAGAGGCTAACTCAGGATTATCACTAGAGGGCCTATATTTTATTTCATGATAGGTCAGAATAGCTACAGACTCCTGAGTCACCCTCACTTTTGGTACTTCCTCTGAAAATTCCCTTCTCTGCAAGATCAACTAGCAAACAGAATTAATGACCTATAAAGCATATGATAGTAAGAATAAAGACTATTTAGTATCAGGGAATATTTATATCCCATGAGTAATTTGTGAACTCAAGGAAAGCTCCAACATGTAAACTACACAAGGGAAAGATTTTTGAGAGGAAAGGACCTCTGGTGCTGTTTGATAGTCTTAGTACACCATAATATACTGTCCCTCAATTGTTACCAAGAATAAAAACAGAGACACAGTATTACTGAAAAACATGTTATCCACATATCATATGCCCTACTCTTCCTCATTTGTGCATAAGGTTCTCTACTAAACTGAATGAAATCATCATTGCCATAGGATAGAAGGTGTTCTGCAAATGTCAATATTCAAAACTATGGAGAATCCCTTTAAGTTACTTTACACATAGTCCAAGAGGTAAATTTCAGAAAAATAAATCATTTTGGAGTCATAGCTTCTATTTTTCTATGTCACACATACACAGGAAAAATGTTCTTTTCAGACGACTCATCCTCTTCAGAAACCTACAGAGTTAGTTTTGCAAAGAAACATACTTCTTTAGAACTTGTTACTTCTGTTTATAATTTTATGATGTACAGTACTAGGGGAATGAAGAGCTTGTGAAGTATGTTAATGAAAGTGAAAGACTTCACAGGTAGCTGCTGACTTTTTCCTTCTTTTATTCAAATCCCACATATGCTTTATGGGCCCAATTTAAGTTTTACTTCTTCATAAAGCCTGACCTTTTTAGTTGAAATTTGTCGTTTTTTTCTTTTGTCTCCTTTAATTTACTGCCCATATCAAACATTCTGGAATTCGATAATTATTATGTTACAATGTTATTTACATGTTATGTATATTTTTTTCTTCAAATGCGACTTTTAAGAGAAGAAACTGTCAGTTTTCTTTTCCACTGATGATAACAGCATTCTCTGTACATTGTAATTATTCATTAAATTAGAATTAAATGAATAAACAGGTTTACCTTTAGGATTCTGGAGCTGGTTCATCAATTCATGGAGCTTATCTTGAGCATCTGGCAAGTCCATTTTATTAACTGCCAAAAGTGCAGGTTTTGTCTGAAGCTCTTCTTTGTACAATTCCAACTCCTTTAAATCAAAAGAGAAAACCCAGTAATTTTATTACTGGTTTCTCTATAAACTTATTTGGTAATTAATGATCTGGGTGATCTAAAGCCCATTCACATCACTGAAATGCAACAAATCCCTACAACAGAAAACTATAGGAAGAATTTCAGAAAATGATTCTGGTTAGGTCACGTATTAGTATGTTTTAGCTTAAATGACATCCTAGAGACAGTTGTAATTTTGCATCTAGAGTCAAATATGGGTATCTGGACTTCACATACATAAAATTCAGAAGTCAATAATGATCACTTAATGTTGTACCTGTAGTATTCTTGGAAAAAGTAAATATACCTAGGAGCACATCTTTGTCACCTTGGATTAGACAACTGTTTCTTAGAAATGACATGAAAAGCACAAGTAAAAGAACAGATAAAAGGTGGAAGACTGCTGAAGGCCACAAGGAGTTTGAGACTACAATGAGCTACAATCATGCCTGCACTCTAGCCTACATGACAGTGAGACTCTGTTCGTATTAAAGACAAATAAATTCATAAGACTGGGCATGGTGGCTCATGCCTGTAATCTCAGCACTTTAAGAGGCTGAGGTAGGAGGATCACTTGAGTCCAGGAGTTCAAGACAAGCTTCAACAACAGAGCAAGACCCCATTTCTACCAAAAAATTTTAATTTAAGGAAAGGAGGCTGGGTGTGGTGGCTCACGCCTGTAATCCCAACACTTTGGGAGGCCAAGGCGGGTGGATCACGAGGTCAAGAGATTGAGACCATCCTGGCCAACATGGTAAAACCCCATCTCTACTAAAAATACAAAAATTAGCTAGGTGTGGTGGTGTTGCGCCTGTAGTCCCAGCTACTCGGGAGGCTGAGGCAGGAGAATTGCTTCAACTCGGGAGGCAGAGGTTGCAGTGAGCCGAGATCACATCACTGCACTCCAGCCTGGCGCCTGGCAACAGAGGAAGACTCTGTCTCAAAAAAAATAAAAAATAAAAAATAAAAGAAAGGAATGAAACAAATGGAATTTCATCAAAATTAAAAATTTGGGGTTGTTTTCTTGCTATTGAGCTGTTCTGACTCCTTATGTTTTGGATAGCAATCCCATTTCTGGGTATATATCCAAACAAAATAAAACCAGTATTTCAGAGATATCTGCACTCCCATTTTTACTGAAGCATTATTCATAACGGTCACAACATGGAATCAAACTAAATGTCCATCAATGGATGAATAATGAAAACGTGATACACACACACACACAAACACACACACACACATACACACACACAACTGAATACCATTCAGCCTTAAAAAAAGAAAATCTTGTCACAACAACATGGATCAACCTGGAGAACACTATATTAAGTGAAATAAGCCAGGCACAGAAATACAAATACTGCATAATCCCACTTATATGTGGAATCTTAAAAGGTTGAATTCATAGAAGCAAGGAAAATTGTGGTTGCTAAGTGCTTGCAGAAGGAAGGATGGAGTGGTGTTGGTCAAAGGGAACAAAGATTCAGTTAAATAGGATGAACAAGTTCTGGAGATCTACTGTACAGTATGGTGACTATAGTTAATGTATTATTATTTGAAAATTGCTGTAACAGTAAATCTTAAATGTTCTCAACACAAAAGAAATAATGTGTAAGATGACAGATCGTATTAGCTTGATTTAATCATTTTAAAATGTATACATATATCCAAACATCACTTGTGCACTTTAAGTACACACAATTTTTATATCAATTACACTTTAATAAAACTGGAAAATTAAATAAATAAAAGTTTTGTGCCACAAAGAACACACAAAAAATACACTGAAAAAGTGAAAAGACAAGTCACAGAAGGGGAGAAAATATTTTCAAATCATGTATCTTAGAAGGGACTTATATCTGGTGGCTCACGCCTGTAATCCCAGCACTTTGGAAGGCTGAGGCAGGCGAATCACCTGAGGTCAGGAGTTCAAGACCAGCCTGGCCAAGATGGTGAAACCTCATCTTTACTAAAAATATAAAAATTAGCCTGGCATGGTGGCACGTGCTTGTAATCTCAGCAACTTGGGAGGCTGAGGCTGGAGATTCACTTGAATCCAGGAGGTGAAGGTTGCAGTGAGCCGAGATCTTGCCACTGCACTACAGCCCAGATGACAGAGTGAGACTCCAGCCCAGATGACAGAGTGAGACTCCGTCTCAAAAACAGAAAAAAAAGAAGGGACTTATTTCCTAAAATATAAAAAATGCTTACAACTCAATAATTAAAAAGCAAATAATGCAAATAGTAATGCATACAGAATCTGAACAGACTTTCCTCCAAAGATACAGAAATGGCCTAAAAAGCACATAAAAAGATGTTTAGCATAATTAATCATAAGAGAAATGCAAATAAGAACTATAAAAAAATACCACTGCGCTCCTACAAGGGTGAGTAAAGTAAAAACGACAGACAATAATAAGTGTGACATTCATGTGAAAAAATTGGAACCCTCATACATTGATAGTGGGACTGTAAAATGGCAAAATGGTGCTACCAATTTGGAATAGTTTTGCAGTTCCTCAAAATGTTAAAGAATTACTATCTGATCCAGCAATTCCACTCCTACCCAAGAGAAATGAAATCATGTCTATATAAAAACCTGTATACAAATGTTCACAGCAGTATTACTCATTATAGATGAAAAGTAGTAAATTAAATAGGATCTATAAATTCCTGGAGGTAAGTAACACCATGTTGTCTTAGAGAGAAATCACATGGCTGAAATGTAGCATCTAGGGGAGACGGTTAGGGAGGAGGACTGCTAGGTAGGGGCCCAGTTTGCCGATTTCATAAATCATGCTCAGGTTAGATTTTAACCTAACAGCTGTGGGGGTCCATCAAAGCATTTTAGGCAGGGAACATCACCTCGGTTTTTTTTACAAAGATCACTCTAGCTGCCATATAAAAAATGGACTGGAAAGAAGCAAGACAGGAAACAGGGGACAGGACCAGATTCAATATTCCAGTGAGAAGGGTTGATGACTCTAACAGTGTAAATGAAGACAAGTAGATGGATTTCAGAGAGATTTAGGATAAGAAACTGACAAGGCTTGTGCAGGTGGTGAGAAGAATCAGTACATCACAGCTTACACATTCACTAAGCTATGGGGATGGCTGAAAGTTTTTTAAAAAGTTTACTTTTTACCTGATGCTCCAGACACAAGAAAGAAAAAAAAAAGTTTACTTTTATCAATATTAAGTGACTAACGGGACATCCAATCAAAGAAGATGTCCAATGGGCAGCTGGTCTAAAGAACAACGAAGGCATGGCGTGGTGGCCTACATCTGTAATCCCAGCACTTTGGGAAGCCGAGGCGGGTGGATTATCTGAGGTCAGGAGTTTGAGACCAGCCTGGCCAAACTCAAACACTTTGGTCTACATATTAGACCAAATATAGAACATAGTAAAACAGAAAACCTACTTTTGTAAGCAGTATTATGGTTTCAAAAGCAGTTCTGTATTGAGTGCGATAAGAAAGCTGAAATCCAGAAATATCAACCTAAAAAGAGATGGAGACAATCTTTAACATAAGAAAAATAGCTATACATTTCTATGTTTTAAAATGTTTTACTCTCTCAAGCTAAAAACAATTTCTCTATACTCTACTTGTTATTTAGCAATTCAAAATAAGTAACAGAAATAAATGTTAATTATAATTCTGATAAAATTACAGTCATTAATAAAAAACTAGAATAGATAAGACAATTTGTACCAATAGAAACAATCTCATATATAACTCTAGCACCACCAATGAAGTATGAAAGAGATGCTATCATACTATATAATATGGTAGTATGTTGGAAATCTTAAGGAAATACATCTTAACAAGTATGGCCAAACTTACATATGATATAGTAAACAATGTCACTTCCATTGCCATATCATAAAAGACTTAGTGGAGTAACATACGCTACCACTTTCTTATTTATAAAAAAATTCTAAGAAAAATTAAATTCATTGATTTTCATATTTATTTGAATATCACATTGGTATGCATATGACTTACAACAAAAAGTAGTTGTCTAGTTCTTTCTATATGCTTGAGGAATTTGTGGCCCATTCCTTTGTTCATATGTGCTCCTTCTATTAAACCTGGAAGATCAGCTACTGATATCTAATACAAAGTTAAACGGTTGATGAAAAAGGAAAATATATGAAAACCACAAGTTTAATTACATCCAAAAATTTTCAAGACATTTCAAATATAAACACTTCCTAGCTTATGATTACCACTACATCTTTGAAAAGCCAATATACTATTATAGCAAAATTAATCTACAATATTCAGAATTAAAATCTTCTGTTATCAGATATTAGTCCCATATTTACTCTGAATAATCTAGGAATTTTACAGATTAGTTTAACATTTGTTTATTTATTATTATTATTTTAGAGATAAGATCTGTCACCCAGGCTACCGTGCAGTGGTGTGACTATAGCTCACTGCAGACTCGAACTCCTGGGCTCAAGTCATGCTTCTACCTCAGTCTCCCAAGTAGCTGAGACTACAGGCACACACATCATGCCCAGCTAAAACATTTTTTTGTAGAGACAGGGTCTCACTATGTTGCACAGACTGGTCTCAAACTCCTATCCTCAAGTGATCCTCTCACCTCCCAAAGTGCTGGGATTACAGGTGTGGTCCACCACACTAGTCCCTAGTTTAAAATTTATTTATAATTTCCTAAATGGTATTGTCCAAGATGAACTTTTCATAGAATTTCAATCTTTACACTCTGAATTCATAAAAGTTTACAAGGATATTAATTACAAAGACATTTACTAGGTATAGCTCGGTATTTTAAATTCAATTTGTAATTATTTATTTGGCACCATTGTTCCTTCTCTGTTCGTATTATACCAGCAGGATTGTCAACCATTCTTACAAAGTATTAGGTTGGTGCAAAAGTACCTGTGGTTTTGGTCATTACTTTGAATAGGCTTTACTACATTAATAGTGGTGTGATTCTCCTCACCTGTTCTTTGCAGTGCCATGTTTGCTAATGCTTCACATTTTTGTAGGTAATTATCATTTTTACTTAAGCAAAGCTCATGGCATTACATGAGGAGCAGAGTTCTATCATCTAGAAGTTCAATCACCTGAGCACGCTTCCTTGCCATCATCTCATTTTGTGCCAGTATTCAAGTTAAATCAGTCAGGTGAAACTGCACTCGACAAACCCAAGTTGTAGTTGTGGCTCTCCTACTTTTGGCCATTACTTTTAATGATCAAAACTGCAGTAACTTTTGTACCAACCTAATAAAAGAATACAGTGTTCCTATACTCCTCTTAGAGGGAATAATCATTATTAAGCATCATTCTACACTTGTGCTTTTCAAACCTTACTGTGCTTCATAATCATGTAGGGAGCTCTTAGAAACTACAAATGTCCAGGCCCTACCCCCAAGAGATTTAGTCTCAAATCTCTGGGGCCCAAGTATCATTTATCATTGCTGTTCTTAAGCCACCCAGGTAATTGTGAAGTGCAACAAAGAATGAGAGGCAGTACCCTACATCCCCTGCCCAGTGTAGATAAAGAATTCGGGGTCTTAAAGGAAGCTGACAAAGCAGCATGCACAACAGAAGTCTCATGTCCTGAAATTTCCTCTACTAATTTCTCTTAAAAATTAGGTATAAACAGTGTTCTCTTTTCCTCTAAGTATCGTTCTCTATATTCATATTATTCTATATTTAATAATTTTACTTACATTTAACATTCTATAATTGCTTTTATCTTTTACTGTCATATCACTGTAACTGAATATAATTTTTTAATGTTTTTTAAATTATGTCAGAAAACTATATGAACCTATACTGATGCATCGTTAGCACCCAAAGTCTATACTTTATATTAGGTTTCATTCTTGGTGCTGTACATTCTATGGATTTTAACAAATGTATACTGTATCTACCATTATAGCAACAGAATAATGTACTATATAGTTTCACATTTTATAGTGTGCCCTAGAAATTCTATGCACTCTGCCTATTCATCTCTCCTCCCCCCCAACCCTGGCAATCATTGATTTTTTTTTTTTTTTGACTGTCTCCACAGCTTTGCCTTATCCAGAATGTCACATAGTTGGAATCACACGGTATCACACAGCCTTTTCAGATTGGCTTCTCCCACTTAGAAATGGGCATTTAAGATTCCATTAGGTCTTTCTGAGGCCTCTTTAGAGCTGAATAATAACCCACTGTCTAAATATATACCACAGTTTATTTACCCATTCATCTACTGAAAGATATCTTGGTTGTTTCCAAGGTTTGGTAATTACAAATAAAGCTGCTATAAGCATCCATGTGGAGCCTTCTGTGTATGCACAAGTTTTCAATTTACTTGGGTAAATGCTAAGGAGCACAACTGCTAGATTGTACATATTTTAAATATTGTTACTTTCCTTTTACAGTTTTTATTGTAAGTATAATAAAAGAAGATCCACAGTTGTTACTTATGAAGGAAAAATGAATTTTAACAGCTGGTTGAGACCAAAATTCCACTAAAAGTTTTTTTTTTTTTTTTTTTTTTTTTTTCAAAAAAAGAAAGTTGGAATAAAATCATTACCATGAACTTTAGAGAGCATTTTTAAAAAACAAAGATAAATAATCCAATACAGTAGTAAAAGAAAGACTTGCAATAAGAAGAAACCAAGACTAAGGAGATAAAGAAGAAGGCATAATGTTGTAGGGATAAATGGGACATAAACTTTGGAAGAACAAGAAAGTCAAAGTAAGTACCAAAACCAAGTACCCTGACTTCTAATGAAGTGTTTTACTTTAAAAATACTTACCTGTTTGAAATCATTGTACATAATCTTTCCAAGTTCAGGCTTTAATGTTGTAACTAAAAGAAACACAGCAATAAATTAAGGATAGAATTTATTTTAAGGCTGGTACTCTCAAAAGTGTCTTGGCATTATGCATAGAATAAACAATATTTCAATTCCGATTTTGTTCTTTAGCTAAAATGGAAACTATGACTATCTTTGCTATGTAACATGTACTTGGAGGACCAAGTGTTGTGGCTCATGTCTGTAATCCCAATGCTTTGGGAGGCCAAGGCAGGAGGATCATTTGAAGCTAGGAGTTCAAGGCAAGCCTGGGCAACATAGTGAGACTCTGTCTCTACAAAAAATTTAAAATGGGCAGGCATGGCAGTGCACATCTGTAGTCCTAGCTATTCTGGAGGCTGATGTGGGAGGATCGCTTGAGCCTAGAAGTTCAAGGTTGCTGTGAGGTATGATCATGCCACTGTACTCCAGCCTGAGAGACAGAGCTAGACCCTGTCTCTAAAATAAATAAGTAATTAGTATTTGGAAAAGGACAAATACTGATTTTTACAATCTCTATAGGCCTAATGTAATTACTGAACCTCAATGTTCCTCTATTGCACTTTAAGGAGTGTAAAAGATGTTTAGGGGAGTCAGCTATCAGGTTTCTATCACTGGACTGTGGGTGAAATTTTTCTAGTTCCTTCTCATTCAGTTATTCTTAAGCCTCATCAACCCTACATTAGTCTCTTACCTATGACTTTTTGCTTTTCGTCTCAAGTCCTACATATTATAACAAATACTGGCCTTGTGATTTATCACAATTAGTCCAAACTTAATTCTACTTAGTCACAGTCTAATTTTAGAATGGCCTGATTTTATTTTCCAAGTTAATGTCATTCTGTATCCTTTTAATGATGGCAGAGATCTTACTATACTTACTACTTTTAACCAAAGCTTCTTTTATATCTTATCTAGCTACCACAAGGGCCTACTGACTGGTTTTCTCAGACCCTTTCATGACCCATACCAATCCATTTTCTATATTATAGGCAGAGATCTCTGTGCGGAGCAAGCCTAAGCATTTTATCCCTTGCTTAAATGCTTCCAATTGCTCTTAAGATATTACAATCAAATATAGCCTACATGGTCTATGTGATATGGTTTCTTACATCTCTAGGCTCATCTCAAGTCTTTCCTTACTTCATGCTCTCTAGACAAACAAATCTACTCCTGCCACCACTGAAGCCTTTGTGTACATATTTCCTTTGATTAAAGACCCGTCATCCTCCACTCTGTTTTACTAATTAACTCATAATTATTGCTCATATCTCAGTCCAAGAATCATACATCCTCAAGGAAGCCTAAAGCAGTCATCTATACTCTTTCATAGTGCCCTTTTATATTTCCTTATATTTATTAGTGATATATATATATATATATATGCCTTACTCCAATAGTCTACACACTCAATAAAAGTCAAAACAGTGGTGGCTCACGCCTGTAATCCCAGCACTTTGGGAGGCCAAGGTGGGCAGATCATGACATCAGGAGATGGAGACCATCCTGGCTAACATGGTGAAATCCTGTCTTTACTAAAAATACAAAAAATTAGCCAGGCGTGGTGGCACATGCCTATAGTCCTAGCTACTCGGGAGGCTACGGCTGGAGAATGGCTTGAACCCAGGAGGCAGAGGTTGCAGTGAACCAAGTTCACACCACTGCACTCCAGTATGGGTGACACAGCTAGGCTCTGTCTAAAGAAAAAAAAATTATCTGCTAAATGAATGAAAGTATTCATCTCAGCCTTCCTAGTGCTTATCACAGTGTCTGATAAAGGATAAGTGGCTCATAAAATCCTAGCTAAACCAAATAAATGATTATGAAACAGAAAAATAAATACAATAAAGTAACTGTCTAACCTGTATAAGAAACTTTGCTGAGGGGCATAGAGGTTTCAAAGATTAATGGAAAATACAGCTGGGCAGGGTGGCTCATGTCTATAATCCCAGCAATTTAGAAGGCCAAGGTGGGAGGATCACTTGAGCCCAGGAGTTCAAGACAAGCCTGGGAAACACAGGGAAACCCCTGTCTCCAGAAAAAATTTTTTAAAACTTGAATATTCAGGCATGGTGGTACATGCCTATAGTCCCAGCTTACTCAGGAGGGTATGGCTGGAGGAGCACTTGGTGGGGAGATCGACCAGCTTGTGGCTCATGTTGTGACCTTTGGTCTCTATTAAAAAAAAAAAAAAAATCAGCCAGGCGTGGTGGCATACATCTGTAGTCCCAGCTACATGAGAGGCTGAGGCAGGGAGATGGCTTGAGCCTGGGCTGCAGTGGGCCATGATCACGTCACTGCACTTTGGCCTGTGCAACAGTGGTCTATCTGCCAAAAGTTTTTCAACTAAGCCTCCCTCAGAGTTGCCATTTTATTTATTCTCAGAGAAATATTAGTCTTTAAAAGTTTACCTCCACTCACTAAAATACACAATCAAATTATACTTACATGCATAATCTGCAATCGCAGGTTTTGCATGAGAAACTTGACTTAGCAAAGAGGATTTTCCAGCATTTGGGAATCTGAAACAAGAATATAAAATGATACACTATAATAAATGCCAATATTATTATCTCTGAATTCCTAAAAATTCAAGTAGACTTCTTGAATATATTTGGGATTAAAAGTAGAATACAAATATATTACAAATAATCTTGAAAAACTTGAGAACAATATATACTTAAAAAAAGGTAAAGATAAATTCATTCTGTACACTGAAGATGTTTCAGTATTGAAAGCATATAATACTTGTTATTCTAATTATGATTTAAAAATAAAAACCACTTGGAAGTCATAGAAAAACAAATTTAAAAAAAAAAAGAAAAACACCTGCAACTTACTATCTCTAGCTAAACACTGACAAAATATTACACTGTTTTGTAAATTGCTTTAAAAAAATTTACAGATACTTTCAAACATAAACAAAAGTAGAGAGGAATAATGAATTCCATTTAGCTATCACCCAGCTTCAACAAATATTAATACGTTGGCAATACACTTCTTAAAATCTGGTTTGAATAGAAACCCAAATAAGGTCTGTATGTTACAATTGCCCGATGTGGCTCAAATCTCTTAAGCTCCCCCTCCATCTTGTTTCCCATTTGTAATTTTATTTTTAAAGAAAATGGGTCATTTGCCCTACAGAGTTTCTTTTCCAAAGTCTTCATTTTTCTACTAGCAGCTACATGGTCACTTAGCATGCTCTTTTCTCCCTGTATTTTCTATAAAAAATGGGCAGTTGTTAGAGTCTTAATCATATTCAAGTTTTACATTTTTTTTGAAGGAAGTAAAGGAAAACTACTTGACAGTTGGTCGGCCTGCTCTTTAAACTGAATAATATAAGGTGAACACTTTTCAATGGTGAAGTGTAATTTACTTAACTAATTTCCTATTGATAGACATTTAGGTTGTCTACAATTTTTCACTCTAAACAACACTGTGAAAAATATGTATACATGCAGACACTGTTAATAGTCATCTCTGGGGGGTAGAATTCATAGACAACTTTTTCTTTATGCTGACAAGTGTGTACTTTTTATCTTTTTCCTAAATAACTTTAAATAATGCAATGACTATCCTTAAATCTTTACAACTTTTTTTATCTTTTCATGGCTTAATAGCTCATATCTTTTTATTTCTTTTAATGCTTTTATTTCAATAGCTTTAGGAGTACAAGTGATTTTTTGTTGTTGTTACATAGAGAGATTGTGTGGTAATGAAGTCAGGGATTTCAGTGTACTCATCACCCAAGTAATGTACATATTCTCCCTCCTTCTGAGGCTTCAATGTCCATTATACCACTCTGCATGCCTTTGTATACCCACAGCTTAGCTCCCGCTTTTGAGTGAGAATATGTGGCACTTGGTTTTCCATTCCTGAGTCACTTCACTTAGGAAGATGTCTTCATTCTGTTTTATGGATGAGCAGTATTCCATGGTATGTGTATATACAGATACACACTTTTCTTTATCCATTCATTGGTTGATGGGCACTTCGGTTGACTCTATGTCTTTGCAATTCTGAATGATACTGTCATAAACATGTGTGCAGGTGCATTTTGGATATAATGACTTCTTTTCCTTTAGGTGCATATCTTGTAGTGGGACTGCTGGATGAAATGATAGGTCTACTTTTAGTTCTTTGAGAAATCTCCATATTGTTTTCCATACAGGTTGTACTACGTAATTTACATTCTCACTCAGCAGCGAATTTTAGTGTACCCATCACCCAAGCAGTGTATGCTGTTCCCAATAGGCAGTTTTGTATCTCTCACTGCCCTCCCTTCCTCCCTCCTTCTGAGTCTCCAATGCCCATTATATCATTCTGTATGCTTTTAAGAGTATAAAAGTTCTCTTTTCACCACATCTACAATAGCATCTATTGTTTTTTGACTTTTACATAATGACTATTCTGGCTGGGTAAGTTGGTAAATCATTGTGGTTTTAACATGCATTTCCCTGATTATTAGTGATGTTGGCCATTTGTATGCATATTTTCTTTTGAGAAATGTCCATGTCATTTGTCCACTTTTTAATGGAATTGCCTTTTCCTTGCTGAGTTCCTTGAGATTCTGTATATTAGTCTGTCTTAGATGCACAGTTTGCAAATATTTCTCCCATTCTGTAGGCTGTTTACTCTGTTGATTCTTTCTTTTGCCACGCAGAGGACTTTTACTTTAATTAGGTCCCATTTATTTATTTTTGTTGCATTTGCTTTGGGATCTTAATTATAAATTCTTTGTCTAGGACAGTGTCCAGACGGGTTTTTTCCTAAGTGTTCTAGAATTTTTATGGTTTCAGGTCTTAGATTAAAATCTTTAATCTATCTTAATTTTTGCATATCATGAAAGATATGAACCCAGTTTCATTATTCTACATTTGGATATACAATTTTCCCAGCATCGTTTTTTGAATAGGGTATCCTTTCCCCAGCTTATATTTTTGTGTGCTTTGTTGAATATCAGTTGGTCTTAAGTATTTGGCTTTATTTCTGGGTTCTCTATTCTATTCCATTGGTCTATGTACCTACTTCTATACCAATATCATGCTGTTTTGGTTACTATAACCTTGTAATATAATTTGAAGTCAGGTAATACGATTCCTCTAGATTTGTTCTTTTTGCTTAGGGTTGCTTTGGCTATTCAGGCTTTTTTGATTCCATATGAATCTTAGGGTTTTTTCTAATGCTGTGAAAATGATATTGGTATTTTGACAGAAACTGCATTGAATCTGTAGATTGCTCTGAGCAGTATGGTCATTTTCACAGTACTGATTCTTCCAACCCATGAACACAGAATGTATTTCCATTTGTTTGTGTCATCTATGATTTCTTTCAGCAGGGTTCTGTAGTTCTCCTTGTAGAGATCTTTCATGACCTTGGTTAGGTATAATCCTTAGGTATTTTATTTTTTGTGGCTATTATAAAAGGGATTGAGTTCTTGATTTGATTGTCAGCTTGGTTGTTGCTGGTGTATAGCAGTGCTACTGATTTGTGTATACTGATTTTGTAACCTGAGATTTTACTGAATTCATTTATCAAATCTAGGAGTCTTTTGAAGGAGTCTCTAGGGTTTTTCCAGGTATAAGATCATATCATTCGCAAACAGAGATAATTTGACTTCCTTCTTTCCCATTTGAATGTCTTTTATTTCTCTTGCCTGATTGTTCTGGTTAGGACTTGTCTTTGTACACATCTTTCATTTCTTTCTTGGAATAAATGTCTACATGAAGAAATACTGGGTAAAATACATGTTCATTTTAAAGGCTTTTGATTATACTGCTAAATTCCCCTCAAGAAAGGCCCACCATGTATGAAAGACAGTACTAGCAATGGGGGTTATTTAAAACATCCATTCCTAAATCTCATTCACATATTTTCATTAAATTTATAAAACAAATATTTATTGAGCACTGACTTTGTATCAGGCAATATACTAAGCTTGAGACAAAATGATTCCCAGCTTCACAGAGTTTCATTCAAATTTGAAGGAGTTCTTTCAAAAACTCTGACAAACTTTCATTTGGAATAATGGTAGAATATTTTGCAAATATTAATTTGGAATTCTATAAAAACATAAGCTCTATAATGAAGGTATTTCAACAATTTTCCTCATTAAAAAATCTTTCTGTAATGAATGTAAAATAAAATTATGTGAGGTTTCTTAATGACTTGTTTCTCATGGAACATAAATGTTTCTCATACCCTGTTTCATTTAGGTTCTTACAGCTTTTGAAAAGCGAATTGCAGCTATTTTTGTCCATAATATCGCTAGCTGGACTTGCTTGTTTCCAATATCCTCGTATTTTCATAATAATGATTGGGAACATAATGCAAGCAACTATTTTCAAGAAGATCAAAGTGTGAATAGAAATGATGATGCTAATGATTGAAGAACAGATATTCGAAATTTTTCTTGAAAAGTACCCAATGAGAATTTCAGAAGCTAAAAAAATCCAACCTATGCGAAAATCAGATTTGACAACAGCAGCACAAGTGTATTAGTTGTACAATAACTTTCTTCTATGATTTAGTCCATTTCTGAAACCAGGTAAAAGGATGTCTATTTATGCCAGTAGTCATAGTAGCAATTCTTCAAGAATAGTTGCCGAATTTTAAAACACTAGGAAATACATTAAACATTCCACTTAAAAATCGTTTTCCCCCATTCTCTTTTGACATGCTTAAGAATCTTGATGCTTTGATTACTGACAAATTTCAAACCTACTTCTGAAAAGGCACTTTTCATTATATGCAGTCTCCAATAAATTGGCAATATCATGATGATGAAGATAGCAGCTACAATTCATTGAACGTACAAAAATGCAAAGCATGTATTCTGCTGTAAATGCATTTTCTTAACCACCCACATTTTAAGAAAAGGCTATCTCCAAACACTATTAAAGATGAGAAAACAAATGACATGGTGAAAAGAACTACAGTGAAGGAAGAATGAGAGAAAAGAAAATAAAAGAGAGAGAGAGAGAGAGAGAGAGAGAGAGAGAGAGAGAGAGAGAGAGAGAAAGGCTTAGAGAAGCTGTATAATGTACCCAAGACCAGCTGGCCAGCCTCCAGAGGATCTGAGATCCTAACCTAGTCTAACCTGAGTCCTCCATGCCACTCCGCTTTTATGACTAAGCCATGCTAGGCTCTTCTGAGACTATAAAGTTGTCTCTTCAGAACTTGAAACACATTTTTATACCAAATGCAACTGTGATTGGCTGGACTGCCAGTCTTGTCCAAAAAAACCCTATTAAACCCATGTTCCTGAAAATGTAGATTATAGAATTTATGTCTAATAACTCTCATAACTGTGCTTTATTGAAAAAAATAAATGTGAACAGCAAGGCAGGATCACATCTTTCCTTGTTATAATTTTAGTAGGAATGGGGCCTCTGTGAACCCTAGACCAGTGAAGGTAAGCTCTAGTGGCTGGTCAGCCAGCGCAAAAGGCAAGAGATTCAGACTTAAGAGTGTGGTAGAGAGGCAGTGAGATGACTGGAGAGGAAGATGCAAAGAACTTAGAAAGAAGCTATGAGGAAGCAAAAAGTAGAACTAGGAATTTGGAGAAGGGCAGTAATAAGGCAGTTTTCCTTATCTTTTCCTTAAATTTTCCATCTGAATAATTGTATAATACTGTGATAAGGCTGGGCGGGGGGAGGGCAGAAGGGAGGGAGGATGGGGGAGAGAGAGAAAATGCATATTGAAGTTTTCTCTTCCTTTATTTACTCTGTATCTTGCTATCTATCCCCTTCCAGTGAGCAGCTGCACTGCAAACCCCATAGCTAAACAGCATTATTTAATGAAAGAATGGAGGCTGGTGGAAGAGGACACTCTTGCGAGGTCTACGGTACTGAGACTAGATAGATCCTAAGCACAGGCAAGAAGGATATACAAAAAGTCATAGCAAGAGTCAATTTGGCGGCAACAGTGCATAAGTCTGAGGATTGAGATTGTCTGCATTGCTCTTTAGTCATTTGATTAATGGTACCTCAATGTCTCTATTAAGACTGAAAAGAGCTATGTCAATTTTTCCCTTTTTATTTCCTTGTATATGCTTTTAATAATAATACGGTTTGTTTGGATTTCTTATTCTTTAACATCTGATAACATTATAACATTATTATTTAACCTTCTTATAATATTACATTTGATTGATTTTTCTTTCTTTATACATTCTCTAACATTCCTATTGATCTATTCAATTGCTCTGGTCTTCATTTTACAAATGAGTAATAACCCTATGAAGCTCTATGTTGGCAATTTGAAAAAAACAATATTTAGCAGCATATTTTCCTAGTACACACACAACACACGAATTTCATAAACTAGAAATAATTATGGCCCCAAATTACCATTTACATTTATTTACTATTCATGAACTATCTCTCTGAAAGTATAATAATAAAAATATGAATGATACTTACCCTACTAGGCCTACATCAGCTATAAGTTTTAGATCAAGGTGAATTACTCGTTTCTGGCCTTTCAACGGTAAGAAATTTGTAAGTAATTTACCACCAAGACCTCCTTCAGCTACCAAAATTCTGTCATCCTCTTTATTGAGTTCTCCTTAAAAAGAGGGAGAAACATTCTTAAAGCAAAGATTAATAACTGAAATCACTAGTGGAACATATTTCAAAAATACAGGCAAGGAAATTCCCAATTACAAATCTATAGATTAGTAAATGGAACCACTAATGTAATATTTTACTTTCAAAAATACATGCCAGGAAATTCTCAATTATGAATCTATAATTAATAAGTAGAATCATTAATATTGTTCTTTCAGAAAAAGTCCAGGAAATTCAAATTTACAAATCTATTAAAAGACTAACCCTAGAAAAACACTTTAGTAAGCAACTGAAAAGAACCTAGTTACATATTTTAAGACCAAGTAAGAACTTTTACATCTTTAAAACAATCTTAAATCTAGTAGTCAATTTACCTTTTCTAAGTTTTGCTCTCTTATAGAATAGTAGCTAAAATTGTTTGTTAAAAAATTCTTCCAAAAATCAAGAGAAGCTATTCCACTGTTTAAGTTTAGAAAACGTGCACATTTTTAAACCTTCGAAGTGAACAGTATACTCACCTACAATTTTACCATTTTCATCAGTTACTGAAATACCCACAGGCACAGGGATTTCACAGTCTTTTCCTTTGGAGCCTTTCAGTGCACTAATTCTACAAAAAAAAAAAGTATATATATACATATATATATATATATATATATATATATATGTATGTATGGGTACATACACACACACACACCCAATGGTTTACAAATAAGAGTAGCAGCCAGATGCAGTGACTCATGCCTGTAATCCCAACACTTTGGGAGGCAGAGGTGGGTGGATCACCTGAAGTCAGGAGTTTGAGATCAGCCTGGCCAACATGGTAAAACCCCGTCTCTACTAAAAATACAAAAATTAGCCAGACATTGTGGTAGGTGCCTGCAATCCTAGCTACTTGGAAGCTGAGGCACAAGAATCATTCAACCCAGGAGGCGGAGGTTACAGTGGGCCAAGGTCACGCCACTGCACTCCAGCTTAGGCAACAGAGTAAGACTTTGTCTCAAAAAAATGATAATAATAAAAATAAAGAAGAGTAGCAATCAGTTCTCTGGCTAATGCAGATGTTAAATGGTCAAAGACAGGGTTTTAAAAAAACTAAAAGTATCCCTATTTCTTTGTATTTTAGACTACTATATCCCATTAAAATGGCATTAGGTGATAATTTAAGTTACTAAGCTAACCACCAAAGGTCATTTTGACCCAAAACTAAAATATTGCAAACTCAAAATGAAGAGATTATTGCTACAATACAAATAATCTAGAAAAAGCTCGGCGTGGTGGCTCATTCCTGTAATCTCAGCACTTTGGGAGACCAAGGCAGAAGGATCTCGAGTCCAGGAATTTGAGACCAGCCTGGACACCACAGCGAGACTCCATTTCTACAAAAAATAAAAATAAAAACATTAGCTCGGCATGGTGGCACCTGCCTGTAGTCCCAACTACTTAGGAGGCTGAGGTGGGAGGATCACTTAAGCCTGCAAGGTGGAGGCTACAGTGAACTGTGATAGCACCCAGTGCACTCAGCCTAGGCTCTATCTCAAAAAAAGAAAAACAGAAGCTACAAAGAAATAGAAAATCCACAAAATAGCAAAGCTTCTAAAAAACTAACCTCAAATGAGAGTACTTAACAGTAGAAGGCAAATCGGGCTACTCTTAAACTGTTCATAAGAGAAAAAAATAGTACAAACTTTTTATTAATTCTACTTTTGGGAATTTATCAAAATAATAATTGAACAAACATGTAAAACAGTATCTACACAGGATACTGCACTGTGGTTATAATCAGAAAAAAATCAACAATAACCTAAATAGACAAATGACAAAAAAAAATTGTTACTTATTATGCAGGCATTCTGAATAATTTTCTGACATGGGAGAAAAAAAGTTAAGCAAAAATAGCAGATTGTAAAATACTGTACTCTCATTTTTGTATTCCAAACTTTTATGCACATAATTGCATTTGTGTAAATATATAGAAAAGGCTTAGAAAAGTCTAGAAAAGATTATCTTGCCTTCTAATGGTGGTGGGGTGGAGTAGCATGGTTAAGACTGAGAAAGTTTTCTTAAAGGTTGTCAAAGACAATTTTAGAAAACAGTAGGAATTCAGATAATTTTCTGTTTCTACAGGGTAAGTTCAAAAACTATACAGATAGACATTGAGAAAAGAAATGGACAAAAAGTTTAAAAACTCTGAAATATTATTTAGTTCAGTCTTTTATGAGTTGAGACATTTTAGGCTTTTACTCAGTTACAAATACAGGAAATAAATTACTTTAAATTACCAATTAAGTTTTTATTTGTAACTTAAAAAAAAATTTCCAGAAGGGTTTGATTTTGTAAAATTTAAGTCATTCAGTAATTACTTACTTGCTGTTTGCTCCTACTCCAGCCACAAACCGTTTCTGAGGATACCTGTCTTTAAGTTGTTTTAAAGTCATTCTGTTCTGGGCTACAACCCAGACGTCACCACCTTTTCCACCTTCTCCACCTAAACGAGGATAACCCATTCCACCGGTTCCTCCCTTGGTGAAGAGTCTTAGGTTATCGATGAAATTTCCATACTTAATAAAAAAGAGAAAGAACGTTTGTATACCAAAAGTGTTATCAATTTAGAACTCCTATCTAGTTCTTTCTTCCACTAAAACTTCTTTTTAAAAAATCGTTAATAGCTTCCTATATGCCAATCCTATAACATTATTTCTTAACTCACCTCCACGTCTCCAATCTGATCCCCTTTCCCGTTTGATTATCTCTCTTAGTCCCTTTTATTTTTTTCAACTATCAGTTATTGTCCCTTCTACCCTGAGGGTTTCTGACTTGGCCTTTTCATTCTAGACTTTCTCCCTTGGGTAATTTCTGCTTGTACCAATAACCATCACCTAGATAAGATATTTTCTATGTCCAATGTGTCAGACACTTACACCAGGATGTAAGCTTTTAATAGTATAGAGCAAATGTGAGCAGAATTTGTATTTAATGTATATTTGAAACCCCCCAATATGTAACCTGTTTCTACATATCAGTTGAATAGATAATAGCCACCTCAAAAACAAATGTTAATATAACAAAATCAATCTTTTCCCCAGGTAAAAATCTGTTCCTCCAATGTTCTCTCATATAATGGAACCATGATTTATTGATTGAGACCACACAAACAGACGTCTTCCAGACTATATGTTTCTTTGCTAAAGCCCTACTACCTTTATTCTCTCTACCACTGCCCTAGTACCTTCATCATATGAGCTCATTTCAGTGTCTATTCATTTTTTCCTTACTGCATTCTCCAACTTGTTGCCTGAACTATTTTTCTGAAATTGATGTGATCTCTAATCGTGTTTCTTCCTTACTCAAAAATCCTGCATTAAAAAAAAAAAGCTTATGAAATAAAGTAAAAAATTCTTAGTACTACAGTGGAACCTTAAACAACAGTGGTTTGAACTGTGTGCATTCACTTATACACAGATTTTCTTCCAATAAATATATTAGGAAATATTTTTGAGCTTTGCAACAATTTGAAAAAACTTACAAACAAACCATGTAGATTGGAAATATTGAAAAAAAATCAAGAAAAGTTAATTGTGTCATGAGTGCATACAATATACATAGACACTAATCTATTTTTTCATTTACTTCCATAAAGTATACATATTTTAATTTTTTAAAAACTAGAGGCTGGGCATGGTGGCTCATGCCTGTAATCCTAGCACTTTGGGAGGCCGAGGCGGGCAGATCACGAAGTCAAGAGATCGAGACCATCCTGGCCAACATTGTAAAACCCCGTCTCTACTAAAAATAGAAAAATTAGCTGGGCGTGGTGGCATGGCCTGTAGTCCCAGCTACTTGGGAGGCTGAGGTGGAAGAATTGCTCAAACCCAGGAGACTGAGCTACTGCACTCCAGCCTGGTGACAGAGCAAGACTCCTTCTCAAAACAAACAAAACAAAAACAAAAACAAAAACAAAACAAAACAAAACAAACAAAACTAGAGATGGGGTCTTACTATGTTGCCAAGGCTGGTCTCAAACTCCTGGCCACAAACCAACCTCCTACCTTGTTGGAATTATAGGTATGAGCTTAAAATTTATCAAAACTTACACTTACAGACCTTACATGGCAGCATTTGCAGTTAAGAGAAATGTAAGCAAATGTAAAGATGCAGTATTATAGCATAACTGTGTAAAATTAAATGTAGTACATCCTGTACTACTGTAAAAATTTCGTACTTTCTGTTGCTATCCCAGTGAGCTCAAGTGTCCCAAGCAGCCATTTAAAAGACCATGTGATGCTAATCACCTCCCCATGAGCAGTTCATCTCGCTAGTAAATTTTGTATGTCAGTAAAAAGTGATCTCTCACAGTTCTCTCGCATTTTTCATGTTCAGTGTAAACCTCAAACAACACCATGGAACCCATACAAAGTGCTACTAGTGATGCTGGCAGTGCTCCCAAGAAGTCAAGTCATGATATTACAGTAAAAAGTTGAATTGCTTGATATGTACCACAGATTAAAGTCTGTAGCTGCGATGGCCAACTATTTCAAGACAAATGAATCCAGAATGAGAATCAATGCAGAAAAAAAGAAAAAAACAAAAACATTCATGAAGTCACTGCTGCAGCTATGCCAAGAGGTACGAAAACTTTGTACTTTTTGGTAATTAACTTTTTCTCATGTATTGAAAATGTAGCTTTTATGTGGAAGCAGGATTGCTATTTTAAAAACATACTTTTAGACTAATACAATTCAAGAAAAAATAAAGCTATTATATGACAATTTAAAAGCAAAAGGAATGTGAAGGATCTAAAGCTAAAGAATTAATTGCCAGCAAAGAATGATTTGATAATTTTGGAAAGAGATTTGGCTTTGGCTTTAGAAATATCAATATAACAGGAGAAGTAGGCTCTGCCAACCAAGAGGCAGCAGGAGTTCCCAGATGCCAAGAAAATCACTGAGGAGAAAAAATCTCTCTCTAATCAGGTTGTTAATGCTGATGAAAGTACACTATTCTGGAAAGGACGCCACAAAAGACATTAGTAAGGAAGAGAAGTGAGCACCAGGATTTAAGGCCAGGATAGGTTAACCCTACTGTATTGTGCAAATGCAGTTGTGTGTACAGTCAGGACTGTCCTGACCTATAAAGCTGCTAAGCCCTCAATCTTGAAAGGGAAAGATAAACATCAGTTGCCAGTTTTTGTTGGACAACAAGGCCTAGAGAGCAAAAGCCTTTTTCTGGATTGGTTCCATGGATTCTTTCTCCCTGAAGTCAGGAAGCACCTTGCAAATATGAGACTGACTTGTAAAATTCTGATATTGGACAGTACCCCTCCACCCCCCACCCCTGCTACCCAGAACCCCATGAGTTCAACACCAAAGGCACTGAAGTGGTATCCTTGTCCCCAAACACAATGTCTCTAAATCAGCCTGGAGATCATGGGGTCGCAAGGACCTTTAAGGCTCATTACACGTGATATTCTATGGAAATGATTTTCAACTATGGAAAAGAACCCCAATAGAGAAACTTTCAGGAAAGTCTGAAAGTTATTACACCATTGAAGATGTCATTATTATTGAAAAAGCCATGAAAGCCATAAGCCCAAAACAGTAAGTTTGTGCTGGAGAAAACTTTGTCGAGGTGTTGTGTTATAACTTCACAGGATTTACAAGAGAGCCAATCAAGGAAATCATGAAAGAGATTGTGGATATGCCCAAAACAGAGGGAGAGTGGGTAAAGGACTTCAAGATATGGATCTTGAAGAAACTTAAGAGGTAACACACAACAAACCAGAGAAGATAGCTTGATGGAGATGAGTACCTCAGATCCAGTCGCAGATAACGGGGAAGAAAATACAGAATAAACTACCAGAAAAACCACCACTAGACAATCTGGCAGAAGGGCTCCTGTTATTCAGGACTGCTTTTGACTTCTTTTATGACATGGATCCTTCTGTGAAACAGGCACTGAAACTAAAGCAAATGGTGGAAGAGGACTGGTACTCTATAGAAACATTTCTAGGGGAAAGAGAAAAGCAAAAGCATGACAGAAATTACAATGTACTTCCATAAAGTTACACACAGTGTGCCTGCCTCTCTTGCCTCCCATTCCACCTCCTCCACCGCTTCTGCCTCTGCCACCAGAGAGAGCACAACCAGCTCCACCTCTTCCTCCTCAGTCTACTCAACCTGAAGACTACAAGGATGAAGACCTTTACAATAATTCACTTCCACTTAATGAACAGTAAATGTATTTTCCCTTCCTTATGACTTTCTTAGTAAGTTTCTTTTCTCTAGCTTACTTTATTGTAAGAAAACAGTATATACTATATACATATTTTATATGTGTCAACTTACTGTTTATGTTGTCAGTAAGGCTTCCAGCCAACAGATTATTAAGTTTTTTGGGGGAGCTGAAAGTTATATGAAGATTTTCAACTGTGAGGAGGCACCTCTAACCCCCATGCTCTTCGAGGGTCAACTGTATATCCAAAGCCACTAAAATACCCTTCTAGTATATATATTTTTTGAAACAGTGTCTGGTTGGGTTGCCTGCGCTGGAGCGATGTGGCACTATCACCACTCACTGCAGCCTCAAACTCCTGGACTCAAGCAAATCTTCCACTTCAGTCTCCCAAACGGCTGGGACTACAGGCACCACACCACCACCCGACCTGTTTTTAAAGATGGGTTCTTGCTATGTTGCCCAGACTGGTCCTGAACTCCTGGTCTTCAGGGATCTTCCCACCTCAGCCTCCCAAGTAGCAAGAACTATAGACTCACCAGCCAAGCCTAATTCCTTCCTGTATCCTTTTCATTTGATCAACCTTCCTCTCTTCCTATTTGCCCTGTACTACATGAAATACTGCCATTTTACATGCTATTCTGTTCATGCTTTTCCTCTATTTAGAATATCATTTGTTTTTTCTATTATAAATCCTGTCATATTTTCTAATGTCTTTCTAAATTCCTGTAATGAATTCTCACCCTGACTTTGCTAGCTCTCTCAGCAATTTGATTATGTCTCTATTATTATACCTTTATAAATCTTACATTGCATTTAGTGTTCACCTGTTTCCTTCACGAAATCAAGAACTTCTTGTATTAACCTCTCAGGTTATTAAAATATATGTATTAATCTCTTAGGCTATTACAATCAAAATACCTTACAGAGTGATTTCTTAAATTCATAAACCACATCTCTAGTCATTTAGGACAGCTATTATCAAAAACATCTTTTTTTTTACCCAAAAAAAGTTGAACTATTGACCATTGTAATATATTTGGGGAGAGTTTCTACAGTTCCATTAAACATGTAACACTTTTTTCCTGCTCTAGATAAATCAGATTCAGGGGCTTAGGAGCCTTACTTAAAAGGAGTATTTTACTCTGGTCGTTAGAAATAAGTAATAGCCAAAACATGATGCAGGCAGGGTTTCAAAAAATATTACCAGTAGGGTAAGACTTTTTTTTTTTTTTAATTCAAAGCAGTTGTCAATTTCTAAGGAAACAATTCTTAAGACTGCCACTACACAAAAATCGACCTAAATGTTCTGCAAGAAGGCACAAAAATTACAGGCTTTCGTGTTTTCATAAAAATCCTTTAGAAAAACCTTAAGCAGTGCACTCAAGGAGAAATACAAAAAAGCAGGCTACGGATATTACATAAAGTAAGAAAAAAAACACCGTAACATTTGGGCCACAGCAGGCAGTTACCCCAGTTCCTCATGCCACGTGCACAAATGTCCCTAAAGAAACTCAAACCCTGCCCCCCAAAAACCGTCCTAACCACGGTAGGTACACACACCATTGTCACCGCTTACTGGCAAAGCGCGACTACAGGATGCGCGGAGAAGTCTATGGGAAAACCAAGCAGGCAAGAGGCTGCAGCAAAGAAAGTAGTGGAGAGACAGGGGAGCGACGGAGAACCAGAGCCACCAGTTAGCGCTAAGGATACTAAGCTGAGGGGACCCGCACGGACCTTTCTGAACAACACGCAACTGCAATGCACCATGGCTGCAACAGGCCAGGAAACCTTCTCGCGGAAGCCCCACTATCCAAAGTACGGCGCGGCCTTTTTACATCATCGCCTGCCGCCGACGCGATTTCTCCTCCGCCCACAACAGCCGACTGGCGCATGCGTTGTGTGGTGCTCTCTGGCGCTAACTGCCGAGTGAGCCGTGCGGTGCAGGTAGGGCTAGGAGACCGCTTCTGTTAAAACACTTGAGATAGTTTCCAGAAGTCGTGGGACAAAGGACAGTAGGGCGCAGGGTGGGTGCCTCAAGAATGAACATTTTGAGTGGCATGGAGCTGAAGAGTCAGCTGCCTTGAAGCAGCTTTTATGCTAATTGAGGAAACTAAGTCTTTACTCAGCTTGAAAAAAATTCCAGCAGACCATAAATCCAAACGCGTAAAAGACACGGAAACTCTGGCAAAAAAGAACCCCAAAAGCCATTAGTTGAGTGACGACCTGAGTAGTCCCCAGCCAAAGCTTCCAGGAGACAATGAATTTAAAACGTGGCGGCGGCACAGAATTGTATTGAAAATAATGTTAGGATCTGATATCTGTGAGAGAACTCTACTGTGCAAGTAAGAGAAAGCTTGTTTTCAACTGTCAGAAAGTAGCTGCTTGAAGTTGGGAAGACAAGCTTTTATCTCTTATTTGAAGCAAACCTTTGTGAGAATTAAGACACTATGTAAAAACCCCTCTGTCTTGATTACATCGCAGGACCAGCAGAGAACGGCCCTCCCTATCTCCTCATGCAGTGAAAAATGTTTGCAGCTGAAGTAAACGGCCCTGCACAACGCGGCCAGCCGTGTAATTTTTAACTACCCAAACTACTGATTTCTAGAATCCTTTCATACCTTGATATGATATGGCTCTGTGTCCCCACTCAAATCTCATCTCAATTTGTAATCCTCACCGTGGAGGGAGGGAAGAACCATCATGGGAGATGGTTCTTTCATGCTGTTCTCCAGATAGTGAGGGAGTTCACAGGAGAGCTGTTGGTTTTGTAAGTGTTTGGAAGTTCCTCCTTCATAAATTACCCAGTCTGCGCAGTTCTTTATAGCAGTGTGAAAACTGACTAATAGCTCAGTGTGACAGTCTTCCACCCCTCACTTAGGACAGTGATTTTTTGGAAAGACATGATCTGAAAACCCCTGTCTTGGTTACTTTGCTCCTACTGGACCTCCTGCTTAAAGCAACCAATCAGAAAAGCTGTAATTGTCATTTAACCTGCAATAGTTGTATTTTCCCTCTGTGGATTAATGTTTAATATTAACACCAGCAACAGATGTTGATTTCCATCAGTGTTCCTACCTCTCATTAATCAGAACGTTAGGTTGTTGCTGTGTAGATGTTTTTAGTTTAATAACATTTGCTGCCATTAGATTACTATCCTACTAGGTCTTCCTATTGTGTCAGAATAGTGTTGAGCCCCATGTACTTATTTTCCAATGCTTATTGCTTGTTAGTGAACACAAGCTCAAAGTTTTCTTTCATATAACATACATATGGGGAAATGATCATAGCAACTAAAAAAACAAGATGAGAAATTGATTAATATCTCAAAATGATGAGGATTATTGTGTACTGTAAACAAAGAAGAAAGCATAATAGCTACCTCTAACAAAATGTGGTCAGAGCCTGAAGTAGTTATTATAACTCTCCTTACCAGATAGTAAAAGAAACATTGTGTAACTGGAAACTGTCCCTTTAAAATGTGCAGCTAAAATGAACATGAGGCAAAATGTTTAGGACATTATCCAGACCTAAGGCAGAAGTAATTGCTGGAAAATACTAGTACTTCTGCCAGGAAGAGGACAGAATGCCTCCCCAGGGTTGCTCAGTTTAATGTACGGGCAAACCATTAAATTCAATGGCAATAAAAAGTCTCGAATAAAGTTGAAAATAAGCTGTTGACATGACACAATTTGATTTTAAAAACATTTTAATACAAAGTAATGAGGGTTATGAAAATAATTTTAATATAGAGTTGTTCTAATTATAATTTTAAATAATCAATTTATTTTGAAGTAATTTTAAGTTTATATAAAAGTTATAAAAATAGCCAAAAGAGATCTCATATAACCTGTATCCAGTTTGCTCTAATGTTAACATCTGTTATAACCATTTTTCAAAACTAAAATAATTAATATTGCTAGAATATTAACTAAACTACAGACTCTATTTGCTTTCGCTGGTTTTTCAGTGATGACTTTAGGGTCTAATACTAACACCCCATTGCATTTAATCTAACATATAGTGTAGCTACATTTAAGCATAAAATAGACAAATATATAATTAATAAATCTAATATTTTGTGATGTTACATTGCTTAATTTTGTCAGCAGACTAAAATGAAAAGGGCCTAACTTCATTCTCGGCTTTGCAGAATATCTCAATTGATCTTGTGTCATCTTCTCAACTGCTCTTAATTAGATTTCTACCTTTTGTCTGTCATGTTTTTGGTTCTCCTTGTTCAAGAGTCCCTAGCAGGGTCCAACTGGCTCAGGCTTTGTACTCAGTAGATACTCCAGGAATATTTGTTAATTTATTCAAAAGAAACACAAGAACTGGATTGTTAATTCCTATAGCATATAAATCACCTGAAGTGGAGCATAGAGTTATTCTGTTTTTGTTTGTTTGTTTGTTTTTGAGACAGTCTTGCTCTGTTGTCAGGCTGGAGTGCAGTGGCAGAATCTTGGCTCTGCCTCCTGAGTTCAATCGATTCTCCTGCCTCACCCTCCTGAGTAGCTGGGACTACTGGTGTGCGTCACCACACCCAGCTAATTTTTCTATTTTTAGTAGAGACAGGGTTTCACCATGTTGGCCAGGATGGTCTTAATCTTCTGACCTCATAATCCTCCCACCTTAGCCTCCCAAAGTGCTGGGATTACAGGCGTGAGCCACAGTGCACGGCCGCATAGAGCTATTCTTATTCATTAGCCTTATAATCCTTCAGATTATAACAAATCAAATATTCTTTTTGTTTTTTTTAGATGGAGTCTCAGTCTGTCACCTGGCTGGAGTGCAATGGCACAATCTTGGCTCACTGCAACCTCTGACTCCCTGGTTCAAGCAATTCTCCTCCTTCAGCGTCCCAAGGAGCTAGGGTTACAGGCACACACCACCATGGCCAGTTAATTTTTATATTTTTAGTAGCGACAGGGTTTCACCATGTTGCCCCAGATGGTCTCGATCTCCTGACCTTGTGATCCACCCGTCTCCCAAAGTGCTGGGATTAGAGACATGAGCCACTGTGCCTGGCCACAAATCAAATATTCTTTTAGTTTTATGCCATCAAAATATTGCAACTCTGAGAACCATTATGTCTCCCAAATGAAAAAGGAAAATGGATCAAACAAATGAGGTCTACATACCAGGTAAGATCTCTTTAAGTAGAAATGAAGTACTGTCAAAGAGAAGGCCTCAGGCCACGTAATTATTGTCTTCAAACAAGGCCTATGTGAGAGAAAAAAGTGAATTTATCTTATTGCCTTTCTTTCTAGGAAGTTACAGTTCAACTATTCATTCATTTATTCATTCATTAATATAATAATTTAAATGTTCTTAATTTGTCCCACTTACTCAGCTACGTGCTAGAACACTGTCATGGGTACTGAAAAAACTAAGCAAGAATAACTAAGCAGAGTAGTTGTGTCAATGGCAGGAAAAGCAAATTTTAATCTTTCTGATACCTGTATTCATAACATACAGCTTATAACATATTTGTATAAGTAAAAAGAAGTTTAATGAGAGCTCATTTTATATGAGTTACATAGAGCATAAAAATATAGATTTTAAAACATTTTTAAAGCATCATAAGCACTTAAAAGAGTCATAATTTTTGAAAATTAGGTTTGTAATACTTATATTTGGCCTTTTACTTTATTTTTTTCATTTAATCTAGTTCTTGCAACAGCAATGAATTTCTCATTTGGTTGCTGTGGAGCTTCCAGAAATTTTAGTATTCATTTCTTATATCCATTTTCATATTTCTCATTTATTCTTCAAACCACTAGACCTTTGTTCTTCTTATTTCCCTAAAATTATACTTGCTGGGCTGTTTCCTCAGTCCATATCTTATATGACTGGGAAATGTCTACTACTGAGGCAATGGGAGTTATGGGGTATGCCCTAATGCTAACAAAGGAGAAAAATGAAGATATCAAAACATAGTATAATCCCTATAACTTTTGATTTTATGTAATTTTTAAATCTAATTCTTGGTAAGAAAATAATTAGACCAAAACTTCAGTAAGTAACAAATGTTTGGGGAGAAAAAAGGCACCAAGCGTATATTCCTATCCATTTGCTTATACCTAAGCATCACCTCCCGATCACCATTGAAGTGTAACAAAATGTTAAGGTTTCTGATGAACTAAGGAGAGGATGAGTTCTTATTTAGAGAGAGTAAAGAACAAGTTGTTTTCTCTAAGGAGCCTGATAAGATGGAGTTGGTAGAAGGTTTATGTGAAGGTGATTTTTATATTACTTTCACATTGAACAAGCCCTAAGTATAAGTCCTAATAAAACATTTTATTTTTGTTCTCTCATTACCTCTTAAATCTTTTCAGTGGTGGAAGCTTTTATCCATTATTAAATTTGAGTTCCAAGATTTTCTGCTCACATTTAGATAATAAGCAGTCCTAAAGATATTTTAAGGCCCAAAACACTGTCTAGATTCAGAAATTAGAGTGTTGGTTTCTGTATAATAATTGAAATTCTCAATTTAAGGTTAGTTGTTTCTTGTCTTCACCTAGTGCTGATTTTAGATGCCAGCTTACTATAGCTTCAGGGCACTGTACATTTAGAGCATTGTAGGGAAGAAGAGAAAGTTAATGAGAAAATACTTACTTTAACTTGTCTTTGGTGGGCCAGATTTGAGTTCCTGGGACTGGCAGATATTTAGGGCTAACTCTCTCTATAGTGCTTTTGTGGGTGCTTGGAAGAGTCCCGTCATTGAAATCTCTCACCTCTGGTTCCCTAGTGGACAGGTCTCTATTTGAGTAGTGGCTTTAGAATCTCTCTGCCCATACTACCTCCTGCAATCTGACATATGCCTAGATTTCATCCCTGTGAATGGAGCCCCCTTGATTTCTTTCAGTAGCCCTATTTGGAC